GTATCACCAACCGAAGGTGTTGACACTGCAGCGGAAAAGCTACCAACAGTTAGTGGTGATATGGTTGGCTCTTTACATATCAATTCTTTAGGATCGACATTTTTAAGCTTCTGTCCCTGAAGCTTTGCTGGTTGGGCACAAATTATCTGGTTCTTAAACGCATGAATTAGCCTGACGGGAGCCATCCTACAGTCACACTGCCAGGGGTTCCCGTCAAGTTCTATTCTTTTAGTAGATGGGGACAAGCAGAAAACTGACGGGGGAATGGCAGTCATCTTGTTGTTCCAAAGTCTCAAACGATATAAATCTGGCAGGTTTTCAAATGCACCAGAGTGGATTGTAGTTATCTGGTTGTCGTTAAGACACAACTCAAATAGCCGTGTCAGATTTACAAATGTACCAGAATGGATGGTAGTTATATGGTTGTCGTTCAGCCAGAACCATTGTAGCTGTGGCAGATTTTCAAATGTATTAGAAAGGATGGCAGTTATCTGGTTGTTATTCAAGTACAACTTTTGGAGCTCAGGCAGATCTGCAATTGTACCAAAAGGGATGGTAGTTATCTGGTTGTTGTCCAGGTACAATACTCGTAGCTGGAGCAGATTTAAAAATATACCAGGAGGGATGGTAGTTATCTTGTTGCGGTTCAGCCACAACTTTTGCAGCTTGGGAAGATTGGTAAATGCACCAGGATGGATGTTAATTATCCGGTTGTGACGAAAGGATAAACATTGTAGCTCGGGTAGATTAGCAAGTGTTCCAGAAGGGATAGTAGTTATCTGGTTGTAATGCAGGTACAAATTAGACAATTTTTTATACCGTAACAGCTCAGACGTGTTTACAGTATTAATGCGGTTTTCTCGTAAAGCTAACTCAGAGATGGATGTTGGGAGGTTCTGAGGGATGCTGGTGAAGCCTTGGTTGGGGCAACTGCAGCGTGATGATGATTCACAGCTGCAGATAACTTCTGGCATGGTGGGCTCCTTCAGGATGATGAGAAGGAAAATCAGCACGTGCCGCAGCTTTCTTCCCATAGTGTCCTGCCACCTAAACACAACGGGAAGCTCCTCAGTAAGGCCACTCCAATTTTATGTTGGACCTCGAATTTAAAAGAAAAAAAAAATGATAACTTGAAAATAAACATAAGGTC